TTGCATGCTAATTTGCATGATAAGGGGAGCCTTTCCGAGGGGAGGACAAGCTAAGGAAAGAATTGGCATAGGATCACACACAAAGTGGTCAATGATGTTGTTTCCACAAAAGGACAATTTGGAGATCAAAACAACTGGGAGAAGGTACCCCAGAAAACCAACCACCCAACATCCAGCTATCAGTCTATAGCAGAACTTTGGGGACATAATTCTGGGATAATGCAAGGGATTGCAGATGGCTACATAGCGATCCAAGGCCATGGCTGAGAGGAAGAAAAATTCAGTGTTGCCAAGTGAAAAGAAGATGTAAAATTGGAGAAAGCAGGCATGGAAAGAAATGACCTGATCTTGGGTTGCAAGACCAGAAAGCAAGCGAGGAACACTGGTGGTTACATAGCACATCTCCAGCCAGGAAAAGCTGCTCAGAAGAATGTACATGGGGAGTTGGCTCAATTGACCATCTATAAGGACCACTGTGATGATGGTGCTGTTTTCAACCAAAGTGAGCACATAAAGCATTATCAAGAAAGGAAGCAGAAGGAATTGCTTCTGCTGATCAATTCCAAATCCCAGCAAAATGAATTCCTGGACTACAGTCTTGTTGGTCAACTCCATCTGGAATCATATAAGAAAGCCACTATCACATAAAGATACATTTATTATTATCTCATATGTATCGGATTAGCTTGAAAGAGAAACATAAATTCATGAATGTCAACTATTATGTCCATTTAAAAATCTGTTGACATATCAATGGGGATTTCTCAAACATCTAAATTAATAATATTTTTCTAAGAATTGCCAGAAACTATAGATAGCTATCATATCTTTGCAAATGTCCAGTAAAGAAGATGGCTTCTTCAAATATTTATCTACATCATATAGATGCATGAGACTTTGAAGCAAGGTTACTCTAAAGTTTAGTTATAATACTTGAAAACCTTTGTTTTTTCAGAAGCCAGAAACGTATGCTAAAATAATATTTTTTTAAAATTACTGCGTAAATAATAACAAAACAAACATTAGCATTGAATAATCAAGGTCAGCTAATATATCAAATAACTCACAAACCAGTTTTGTCCTGCTACCAAAAAGAATACAGCATGATTAGAGGGCATACATCGTTTGTTAAACAACCAGAAGAGAAATAATTTTCTATTTTATTGTGATATTGTGACTAACAAGACTTGGAAAATATGCCCCTTCATTTTACTATGAGCATAAAACATTCTGTATGATACATTTATTTCTGGAATATTTGAAATCTATTTGCAGATATAGCATATTTCTCATATGTATAAGTGGTATCAATGGTAATAAGAACACTGGGACTGAGATATCTTCTTGCCCCACCCCATGTAAGCAACAACCATGGCTACTCTACCTGCGAATTATTGTAATATGTTTTTCTCTTTGAGTTGTTATTGTACCAATATCGTATCAAAATAGCATGTCTCATCGACAAATTTCTTGAACCATCAGATCTGGCTTCTGCCAACACTGACTCAAAGATATTTTGCAGAAAACTTTTGAGCCCTTTCTCCCTTCCCCCACAGAAGAACTGCACTGTTTTAAAAATTTTCTAAATTTCCTCTCCTTCCACGATCCCCTCCAAAATCCTAACACAGCCTGAATACAAAGTCTCCTTTCCCTCCATGATCCCCTGAAAAATCCTAACACAGTCTCCAACCCATGGTTTCTGCTCAGAGTCTGAGGCAGACTCATGCATGTGCCCACAAAAACTGAAATGTATTTTATTCAAGACCGATCATCTTATGTTCCCACATGACCTTTTTGTGCTGCTGGCAGTAGAAGTATAGAAATAATATACTAAATCATCCATTCTTTTCTGTCCTTCTACGATATCCAACATCAGAGACTCTGAGCTCCAGGACAAAGCAACAGAGTGAATGCATGTTAAGTCCCGTCTCTCCCAACAACATTCCCTTCTTGTACCTCAGGACTTAAGCCATCTTTCCCCCTAGAGAGAGATTCTGACCAAGTACTGTACTTCATCATGATTCAGGAGGGACAGTTTCCTTTCCAGTGCCTGATATGGGCTGTTCCCTGCAGGACCAACCAGGCAAAGAGCACAGAGCTCTATTGTTGGGTTACAAGAAGAAAACTTCAAGGTGTGTGCCTGAGTGTGTCCACGCATCGAAGTGCCCACTGTGCACACTAGCATTTCAGTGCTGCAGAACCTACTGACTCTCAAACTAATGCCATTCCCCAGTGAAACAATGTCTTTGGCAATTGCTTGGCACCACTTCTGTCCTCCAGGGCATTGCATGGATTCTTGTTCTGTGCTGCCTGCACTAATTCATATTGTCACATGCTCCCTCTTTCCCAAAAGAATTACAGTTCTTATGTAAAGAAATAAATCTTCTGGACCAGATAATATCTATCTTGCCAGCTTTCATGGCAAAATTATAGGAAGCATTTAAGCATTTTTCCTCCATCTAAACATTGCTGAATATTGCTGACTTCACCCATTTCTGTTTCTAAAAAGAATATTTGAATTTCAATCACTACAAGGTCATTATCATATTCAAAAACATATTCTCTTCTATTGGTCATTAACATGTTCAAAAATATGTTGATTCAGAAACCACATCTAATCTCACTGAGGCAGCTACTAACATCCCACATGCAGTAAAAGAAAGCAAGAAAGAATTGTTAAAAAACAAAAATGGTTCACAATAATAATCTGCCTGAAATTCCAAAACAAAGGGAAAGCCAAGTTGATCATTTTTCCCTTTTTTACCAAGAAAAACTCTAGCCCTTTAATAAGGAATGTCATGTACTGAAGACACTGTTCTTGCATATATGTATGAGTTGGCAGTGGAGTCCCTGAGGATGGTACTACTCAGGGCTTTAACCTGCTTCCTGGGGACATTAAGTCCTGAAGATGTTGAGTTTGGGCTAGGTCAGGTATTCATGGCCTCCGTGGCAACCATGGACCTTTCACATCCAATACATACTGGGAATTGCACATTTGATTTTTTTTTTTTTTGTCTCAGGTAGTTGCAGTGTGATGTAGTGTTGGAGGATATTACCATCAATCTGTTGCCTGGACAGAACACTTTCTGATTGCCCTCTGGCTCATTGGTGCCATCCATCTCTATAGTGAGATACAGCCCATTTGATTGGCCTGCTCCAGGCAACTGTTGAGTTCCACAGGAGGCTTGGGGTTTTCCCTGAAAATCTGGTGGACACCTCAGCTGAGGCCTTAGTTGCAGCCTGGAACAGGAGGGTGATTGAGGCCTTGGACCAGATTGTTCCAATGTAGCCTCTCTCTGTTCACAATCCTGTGGTGTACCTTGTTTTCTGAGGAGCTCAGAAGAGATGCCTGGGGTCCCATTGGAAGAAGACAAAGAACAAATCCAACCAAACATGAGTAAGAGCATATATTCAGGCCCACATCATCACAATAAAGGTGACAAAATATGTTTCTCCACCCTTATTGCATTTGTTGATAGCCATCCTGTGGCCCTATTCAGGGTGATTCATTCCCTGCTGGGGAAGGACTGGCTATAGGACCATCTACAGGACTGTAGTGACAAGTATTCATGCTATTTGGCAGATAAAGTTGTTCTGATTCACTCAGAGTTGAACTCTGAGTCAAAGTGAGTTGTATGGAGCACAGTCTTGTGATGTTATCTGGACTGAGTTTGATTCTGTAACTCCTGATCAAGTGGACAAAGACCTCCAAAGTTAATGTTTAATGATTCAAGCCTCTCCAAGGTTGTTATGTCAGCCTGGAAGGTTACCTATGGATGGGTCTGTACAATGTTATTGGACTCTTTGAGGGAGGGTTTGGCTCCCCTGGCCTTCAGAGAGGCAGTACAATTATCATCCAATCGTCCCCTTGTGATGATGTTTGTTGAGTGGGTGGTCAGACAGCAATTGCAGAGGGTCTTAGAGGAAATGGATTACCTGGACCCATTTAAGTCAGGTTACAGGCCAGGATATAGTACACAAACAGCAGTCTACCCCCCCCCCCCCACACACCATGAATTCCACTCTTCCAGTGTTCTGGAGCTCTCTTAAGACCTGTTCCCAGGCCTGGGGTTAGGGTGTTTCAGGAGCCCCTGATGATTTTTTTAAAAAATGTTACTTGTGTGATTTTGTAG